CCACAATTTAAATTCTGTATTTGTAGCCTTATAGCAATGCTTAAGTAAAATGAGCTAGAATATCTTTTTTATAGCCTATGAAAATAGATTCCTAAACCCCATTGAGTGTCAGTCCACATTCATATAAGAGCGACACAAACATAATCAATATTCTATGAATAGGGCGAATTAGGAATGATTTGCTGGCGAACAAAATCTTTTGCATAACCTAACCATAGGTGTCATATTTGATCCCACACCTCCCGCTCCCCTGTCATCTATTCCCGTTTCTTCTGAACATTCTGTCCTCCTCCTATTGTCACTTAGACACACAAATTCTCTCTTTCTCACCTTCCGCGTCCAACTCTCTAGAGCATATGCCAATATACATTGACAGTCTTTATACACCAGCCTTGTCTATATCGTCCTCTTATACACGCATACAGTTCCCCATGTATTTTGCTCCCAAAGAAATGGCTATTTTTAGCACACCCTCATCACTGTGGAAAGTGCAGAGGACTATATACGCTGAGCACTTAAAGCGGAATGAAATCAAAGATGCCACCAGGCACCTTTCCCTGAATGGTTTCAAGCTACCAATCTTTTCCTCTGGATGAGCTAATAATATCGACATCAAAAAGCTCCTAGTGTTCTGAAACAGTGCATTGCTGTCATTATTTCCTTTTCTAAAATTATCTGCAAAATAGTAGCTCGGAGCAACTCTATGACATTTAGACAATGCATGACAACATGGAGATCCATTGAAAGGAACAAGCAACACAGCTTTCGGGTTTCATATATCATCTTCATTGTTGTATTTGCTTTAAGACAGTATTGATCATTTGGAAGGGTTATATGCATGTCTCCGCCCATAGATTGTCCACTGGTTGTGCTTGTAAAGTGCATCTTTTACTTCCAGTAACACTGAAGACATTTTGTTTTTTCAGTGCTTTTTACCTCCTAAAAAACATGGCTGCGTTATAGTGAATATTATTGACCGGATCACACTAACAGGAATGTAAAACATTCAGTGTGTTGGGGGTTGTCCTTTACAGCCAGAATGGGTTGAAATAGGTTACATTCAGCTCTCTGCCAATTGAGGTGTTTGTGTAAGTCTAGACTCCCTCTGTCTGGCTGTTGAGCACAGGCTATAGGGTCTGAAGAGCTTTACAGATATACACACATGCACAAACACACACACATGCCCAAACCTCACACACACACGCACACGCACACACACACACACACTCGCACACACACACACACTGTATTGCATAACTAAGCAATAGGAGAGACTTTCTTTCTTTCTTTGCAGTCTCAATAACATGGGATGGACAGATGCAGGGCTTGTCTCAATCACAGCAGCCTACTCATATACTCAAGGCCAAAGGCAATCAAAGCATGGTACAACATGTTCTTCAATTGGTGTAAATCTGTGTTAAATGTAATATAATTAATAATAGTAATACAGCTTTATTGAAAGGTGGTTTTATGGTTATACCGGTAGTTTTGATTGAATTTGGCCTTTAAAGGGATAGTTCACCCAAAAATTACAATTAGCCCATGATTTACTCACCCTGAAGCCATCCTAGGTCTATATGACATTCTTCTTTCAGACAAATACAATCAGAGTTATATTAAAAAATGTCCTGGCTCTTCCAAGCGTTATAATGGGAGTCAATGGGTATATTTTTTTGGAAGTCTATCAAAGCGCATCCATCCGTGATAAAAGTGCTCGAAACGGCTCTGGGGGAGGGTTAATAAAGGCCTTCTGAAGTTAAGCGATGCGGTGGTGTAAGAATAATATCCATATTTAAAACTTTATTGACGAAAATAACACTTCCGGAGACGGCAGACATTGGAGTAGCGTAAGATTTGACGCCTCGCGCAGTTCAAACAAACAGGGCTGGGCAGCCGCGTTCGTCATTACGTTGTGCGTCAAGTTCAAGTGTTACTCTTTTGGCGTAAGTCAACTTGCGTCTGCCAGAAGCTAGCTATTTTAGTCGATAAAGTTTTAAATATGGGTATTTTTCTTACACGAACGCATCACTTAACTTCAGAAGGCCTTTATTAACCCTCCCCCAGAGCCGTTTCGAGCACTTTTGTCACGGATGGATGCGCTTTGATAGACTTCCAAAAAAATCTACCCATTGACTCCCATTATAACGCTTGGAAGAGCCAGGACATTTTTTAATATAACTCTGATTGTAGGCTATTTGTCTGAAAGAAGAATGTCATATAGACCTAGGATGGCTTCAGGGTGAGTAAATCATGGGCTAATTTTCATTTTTGGGTGAACTATCGCTTTTTCTCTCCCCCTGCCATTTAAAAAAAAAAAGAACACTGTGAAGACAAAAAAATTGATTGCATAAGTTGATGTACATCCTTCTAAACCGTGGCAATGCATGGAGTGATTATAAGATGCTTACAAATATGATTTTGTGACATTCAATGCTGTCATTTAGCCTTTCAAATGACATTTAGAAAATCAACACACAATGCAAATGTAATGCGAGAAGCTAGTGCACCTGCAAGCTAAGCAATGACTGCGGATTTCCAGTGTTTCACAGATGTGAAAAAAAGAAGGCTTCAAATAGGTACTGTTATAGCCCTGACATTTGACACAGCCAGGTCTAGCACCAAAATCACAATATATGTTATTGCCACACATTAAATATGAAGTTACATTGACGATGTGTATTAGGATGATACATCTGATTCACCAACAGCATACTGTCCAATGTCATGCATAGAAAACCTGCTGTTTGCCTGCATTAAAGCTGAAGTGTGTAATTTCTGCTCTCCTAATGGAATTACCAAAATGATATTTTCAAAACAGACCTTCCAATCTGCCATTGCTCAGACAGACAGATCGTTTCACACTAATATCACACCATTGGTTGAGTCAATTTTGTGGTGTTGGGTTGCTTAAACGGAGCAAAAATTTGAAAGCACTACGGTGTTTTGGGGAAATCATACCATGAAGGGATTAATTACAGCTTGGATCAAATAAGTAATTTAAACATAAAAATACACACTTCAGCTTTAAAGCATCCAAACAAGTTTAGTACATATCTTAGGCACTGGCTATGCACCGTATGGCGACATTCAGTTTCATTGACTTTGTTAAACCTACCCCAACTGTGCGCATTGCAGTGATATCTATACTCTGAATTAAAACAAGATAACATGATTAGCAGCAGCTGTGAATGCAGTATCTGCATCTAAATAAGCAGCATCAGCACATACAGTTTGCTAAAAAAAAATATTAGAGAGACGAAGACAAAGGCACCTGCAGCCCAGGTGAGATACTGAAATAGATGTGGGTGAGAAACCTTCTAAGAGTGCACAGTCATGTGCCACATCAGATAATGGAGTCAAATCTTCAATCCACCCATAAGCAGTCAAATTTTGTGTCTAAAAAGAAGCATGAAAACAATAAGATGCTCGAGATAATGGCTATACTTGATACAATATAGTGGCTATAATGCCTCGATATAGGCTATACTTGATAATATAAGTTTGAGGAGAGGATGCAGCAACTGTGGCTGGAGCCAGAACTTTTGTAGAAGGTCAATCAAAAGAAGACGATATTGACTTACATAGTTTCCAAAGCTCTCTGCTGATTCATTGTTAGCGATAAAACAGTCTTTAATGCAAGAGACCTGTGTAAGCCTGTAGATCTAGATTTCAAGGTCACCTGAAACTAAGACAATCAATGTCCCAGCAATCAATGCCCTAATGCTGCACTGTCTGTCCAAATGCAATGCTGAGTGTCTTTTTATAGATCCACTTGCAAAACAAAACCTGAAAAAAGCACCTTTGGATCACAATAAAACAGATAAAAATAGATGAACCTGTATATATATATATGTATATTTACAGAGCAAGATACATATTGTCGTAATATCTAGCTAAGTTTCTGTATATCACTTTCTCTTGAGCTGAAAATCCATGCCATTAGGATTGAGGATTGAGGCCATGCAACACTATAATACCAGTGTTTTTTCTCGATCCAAGCCAGTAAAAGAAAAGACAAAACATCTACCATGCTCTATCAACACCTGAAAATTATTTCAAGATGATAGACAAGCCAGTGATTAAAAATAATCTTACATCATTGCTACAAATGTGCTAGGGGACATTAAAGTGTGAACTACAATATGGCTCATTAAGTGGGAAAGTTATTTGAATATCAACTACATTTTGGACTCTCTCTGCAGCTCGCATAATATATACACTGAACAGTATCCTCTTACACGCAATACATCAAGCATTTTTCTTTCTCTGTGGCACTAGGGTGTTATTTTGCTTATTTTTCATTTAGCATGTTCTGTATTCTCTCTATCCTGAAGAACTGCAATTAGTAATGGTTAAAAGGTGATATGAGATGAGAAAAGAAAAGCCGTTGAACAACAGACACAGACACTGTAGACTAAAAATAACATAAAATAGGACATGTAGAGACATTCATCTTGTCTTCAAAAGCTTTGCAGAAGGATAATCAAGGAGTAGATACAAGTGTTGTCCATACATATGTATTTTGGATCCACACACAACTGTCGACACAGAAGCAGACCGCTTCAATGACATTCCCAGCTGATCACTATAATAACACTAAAATGATAGACAACCGTCTTGACTCTATGTGAATATTGGTGTTCTTAACAAGCAGCATCAGAGTGGATGAGACTTCTGTGAGTATTCTTTGTATCATATACGTGAACGGCATGTGACGGCAAACCTTTTTAACAGCAGATGAAGCACACAAAAGACGTTTCTTTGGCGAAGCTTGGCTTTGAGAGTAAGATGTTGACTGAAATATATTGACACTCATGTGCTGTTTATTTGTGTTCCACAGTTCCATATAAATACTTGGCTCCTGCTCCGGGATAAGGTGTTGAATGATGTAGATGACTCCATGCGAACACTGATGAGTACTTTGTGGATTGTGGACGGATCTGGATGTACGGTTTCAATGAGGTATTGGAGATCGTAAATCTCATGTTAATAACAATCCTCCTTCGAACACAGTTTACTAGTCCTTTTTAAATTCAAGTTGGATCTGCTCCCCAAATGACTAGACATCTGTCAGCATTTTTTTGATATTAACATAATTTGTATTGGCTAAAGTGCAATTGGCTGTCTTGAGGTTCTCGTCCTGAATGTCCTCGTTGCTGTTGTTGACACCTTCTTGGATCTCAAGGTAGTCGGACTTGCTGATGGTGGATCCACTTCGACTTCCCTTCAGCTCTTCTTGGGAATCGGCTTTGAGGGCGCTAACCTGGAGATACTGTGCTTGCTCTTCACCTTCTGTTTCTCGATGGTAGAAGTAGTTGAAGTTTGAGACGATGACGGGCACTGGAAGGGCAATGGTCAAGACGCCAGCGATGGCACAGAGAGATCCGACAATTTTTCCTCCAATGGTTGTGGGCACCATATCTCCATAACCGACGGTTGTCATTGTAACCACAGCCCACCAGAAGGCATCCGGGATGCTGTAGAACTGCGACTCGGGTTCGTCAGCTTCTGCGAAGTAGACCGCGCTAGAAAAGAGGATAACTCCGATGAAGAGGAAGAAGATGAGTAAACCTAATTCTCTCATGCTGGCTTTGAGTGTTTGGCCAAGAATCTGAAGTCCCTTTGAGTGACGGGAAAGTTTGAAGATTCTGAAGACTCGTACGAGTCTTATAACCCTCAGGATGGCAAGAGACATGGCTTGTTGCCCTTGCGGCTCTTCTTCCGCTTCCGTCTCCGCCAGCTCCGTTCCCAGTGTAATGAAGTAAGGAATGATGGCCACCACATCAATCATGTTCATTATGTTCACAAAGAAGCTGGCTTTACTAGGGCAGGCAAAAAAGCGCACCAAGAACTCAAAGGAGAACCAGATGATGCATAGCGTCTCTAGAATGAAGAAAGGGTCTGTGAAGTAGTTGGATGTGTAAATGGTTGTGATGTTACTGCCGGGAATGGGGGCTTTGTTGATCTCCTCCTCATCGCTGTGGAAGATGGGCAAGGTTTCCAGGCAGAAGCTGACAATGGAGATAAGGATGACCATGACTGATATGATCGCTATAATCCTGGCTGGCCCAGAACTTTCTGGATACTCGAACAGCAACCAGACCTGCTTCTGAAACTCATTTTCAGGCAACGGCCTCTCCTCCTCCTTGATAAAACCCTCGTCCTCCCTGAATAACTCAATCGCTTCATCTCCGAGCTCATAAAAACGGATCTCCTCCGAGAACACGTCCAAAGTCACATTGACGGGTCTCCGCAACCTTCCGCCCGATTGATAATAATAGAGGATGGCGTCAAAGCTGGGTCGGCTTCTATCAAAAAAATACTCGTTCCTCAGCGGGTCAAAGTACCTCATGCGCTTCTTGGGGTCCCCCAGTAATGTTTCGGGGAATTGCGAAAGGGTCTTGAGCTGCGTCTCAAAACGCAGACCCGAGATGTTGATGACCACTCGCTCACAGCAGTCCTGCTCCGTTCCGGGGTCATAGTCCTGAGGAAGACCAGGGTGTGCTGCCGCCTCATCTGAGGGGTCGCCCGTGGCCACAGTCATAATGCAGGAGGGTGAGGCCTGCACTTTTCACCGAGGCAGGGCACCACAGGGTGGGAAAATGCAGGGTGGGAATCCACACAGAAGGGGGCTTGACACCGTAGAGCACTAAGGGCCACAGCGTGCTACTGGATGGGTCGACTGAAAGACAACAAAGACAACATGCGGGTATCTTTTAATATTGTGTCCCTGTAAAAAATGATAGGATAAATGAGTAATGACAACATATGTTTTTACAGTGCTTTAACTAATTAAAATAAGTTGAGCATTAAGTCATACAAGATTCAACTCATTTTTTAAGTCAGTTTAATGTAATTTAAGTTGAAATGACTTAAACATCCAAGTACAAATTTAGTACAAATCTGTAACTTTTTTCTTTTCTTTTACAGTGTATAAAGGCTTTCTGCAACAAAAGAAGAGTGAATACAGGTACTGATACACTTTCTGATAATGTGTCATGCGCCAGTGTTTAAAAATAGGATGCAAAACATTACAATTCTAAATCATTTTAATTTTAGAATAAGTGTTTTTTTACATTTTAATATTTGGTCAATTTTTTCTCTATATACTGCATTGGACTTTGCCTACTTTCACTCTAAAGGAAAAAAGAACTAAGAGAAGTAAGGGATAAAATATTTATGATGAAGTTTCTTGGACTGAAACGGGTAAATCTTCTGCCTTTTTTTATGAATTATGTTTATAATAATACAAGTATGTCCCTAGTATCGTAATCATGAGAGATACCACACATGCCATAAAAAATGGCAAAGCGTAGGCAAAAGAAGATCTAAAAATATAGCGCACAATTTATATAGAACAGCATGTTTAGTTATACATTCACATGCCAAGTAGTTCCTGGGTCGTCTTAAACAACCACCATATAATGAAACTCTGCGTCATATCAATTGACATAAAACTGCATCTCTCACAGTGCTGTCATGTAAAAGAGGCCCTTCTCTATTAGACATGCACATCCTACATAACTATGCTGCATCCATGCAGCGTGCAAGCGTGTGTCCCCCATCCCTTTCTCCTCCTTTTCAATGAAATACCTGAACATTCAAAGAACCGCATATGGCATGCTGTTCGTACGTATTTGCTGGAATGTTGCTTGTCCCAAACGGTGCCAGCATGCTCTAAAATATTCAGCAGAAGCAGCCTATGAAATATTAAACTGCAAGAAAATACATTTTAGGCTAAACAAGACTTGGTGGTCCCTCTTTCTTTTTACTCTTCAGATCCCTCCACATTATATAATACATACATATATATATATATATATATATATATATATATATATATATATATGATGTATAGCTGCATACACATAGCAAATAAATGAATAATAAAGCTTCCATATATTCAATAGTCCAGAGTACATAATCAGAACTGAGACATTTTACCTGCTTGGATAAACTTCTAAATCACCCCTGTGGTTCCTCAGGTTCCCAGAAGTCACGACAGCCTTCTCGAAGTGAGGGTAGCAATCCGGCGTCTTTGTGACCGATGAAAACGACAAACTCATCAGATTCCTTAAATCCTGACTGCTACTGTCCGCTGTAGCTCTCGGCACACCGGCGTATTGTGCATAACGGGGCAGGCAGGGAGGAGGGGCAGAGAGGTACAGTATGCGGGTGTGTCCTCATCTACCCCAAAGCTTCCTCACCGCAGGTTTTTTGAGAAGGACACAGAGGAAAGAACAGGAAAAAAGCATATGATGCAAAGGAAGGGCGGTCTCTTCATTCCACATTTAAGGAGGAATTAAGAAGGTCGCCACAGTCTTTGCTAGACAAGTTGCAACAAACGACAGTAGAGGTGAATGTGAAACATTTGCAGAAGGCACAGGTCAGGCTTGTCCTGTAAGTAAGTAATGGTCTTTCAGTGATCACATCCATTAATTGGGCAGGCAATGCGGTACATTAATGGGAATGCTCTTTGTGAGTGACTGATAAACTACTGATAATTGCGCAACTTATGAGGGTCAATGACAAAGCAAGATAATATATTTTTTTTCTTGAATACGTGATTTTAAAAAAAGGTTTCAAACCTATTTCAGTACAAATATATAGATAGACAGATAACCTTAACACAATATATAATAAGTACATGTAGTTAATTAATATTAATCAGTACTTATTAAGTAAGTACAATGCAACTATGTCACCTTAAAATAAAGTGTAACCATATATACATACATTTATATTTATATGAATAGTCAAGAAGTTTTCTTAGTGGTATTCTATTTGATCTGAACAAAATGTTATTTATTTATTTTTGTCAAATGACAAAGTTGGTTTGACCCCACTGACTTTGAGTTGGGAGACAAAAGTTTTTCCAAGTAATATTAGAATATTAGATTTCCCTTTTACAGCTTTCCCCCAAATTACAAATAATTATGAAAAAATATGACAATATTTTCAGGCTTAATGAGCCCCCCACCCCCCCCCCCCCCCCCACCCCAACACTTTTTTAAAACAATCTCTGGATAGTTTTTTTTTTTTTCATATATTTTTTTCTTTCAGCCGCATGATAATCTCTTAATGACCAGAAACTGAATGTTAATAAAAGAGTGTGTTTAAGTAATTGTCTGTATGAATTATCTTTTTTATCTAAAATAAATTATTAATATTGTAGCATCATCTCTTAATGACAAGTGATGACACAATCACTGTAAAATGTGTTGTCTGGTATCCTTAATTTGTATATTAATAGTTTTAATCAAGCCAACTATCATTAGGTTGAATCAAGGGTTAAGATATAGTAGAAAAATTACCCTAAATGAACCAGCTGCACCTTACCACTTTTAAAAATGATTGTAATACAGGAAAAACGCAAATTCTATCACGCTGTCATGTTGACATGGGAACAGATGCAAAACATTAAACATAAGAAGTCTGCAGCGACAGACATCTCTAATCTCTTCCTACCTGTCCGTCTACCTCGCTTGCCAACGTCTCAGTAGTTGTGTCATTATGTTCACGCAACAAGCCATTAGTCAGCTAGTTAAAGCGTACATGGAATCTGCAGTCAATCGTTGCTGTGCATACCAAGAGACTCTTGGATATACCGTCCGCGCTACCACTCCTCACTTTATCCGCAGAGTGGGCAGTTTAAAGGGGACGCGTCACGCCTGGTGTTTCCACGACCCGCACTGTCAAAATGCTGTTCATTTTTTACGGAAAACGAACGTAAAATGTATATTGATATTCTATAAGACAATACGTGCTTTTTGTTTTGTTATTGTCTCTTACAGTTGCTAGTGGCCAAATATGATGCTTTAAAAAAATTATGCAGTGCAATTATATGCAGTGCATCAGATAAGTAGGACGTCCAATTGTATGTATGTATGTATATATATATATATATATATATATATATATATATATATATATATATATATATATATATATATATAGTGTATGTAGCCTACCTTCTATGTACCATTTTTTGATGTCAGTGAAATAATTAAATAGTGTTTACTGCATACTGCACACTATACCTGCCCAACTGTGGAATTGTTTACAGTATGCAATTATGCACAGATGTGATACTGTAGATATCTGTGTATTCCATGAATGTTGTAAATCTTTATAGGCTATATGCACAATATGCATACTTTATACTGCAGAAATTGTATTCCGAACAGCTGTAGAGTAAAATTTTGACCTTTCTGTCTATCCATGAAGCAGAGGCATTTTTACACTGATCGGATATGAAGGTTGAGGCATGGAAACCACTGACAGAAAACAATACATACAAATTGTCTTACTGCTAACAAAAGTAACAGATTTGGCCATTTGCTGCATGGTAAATCAGTAAGGGACCTTTTTCTTCCCTAGAGTAAGTTACAGCTCATGCAATACCGGATTCATTTCACTGTGAAATTTGATTAATTAATTTAAATTTGTTGCATTCATTTCCACACTTGATTTACAAATGATCAACCTATAGATATCATTGCAAACGAATGATTTGTTATTTGATATCAGTTTAATTTCCTTTACCGCATTGGTTGAATTCTCTGTGCTTTCAAGGGATGATTTTGCATACAAATTGTGCTGAGGGGTTTGTGACAGGCTCATCGCTGTTTGTTTTATAGCCAGAGCCTGCATGTCAATCATGCACACATGTTCAGGAAATCTCTCTGACGGCTGAGCCATTATTCATGAGAGAGCAAATACAAAGGAGTGTTCTTGCACTTCGCCTAGCATTAGCTCACATGTTTTAATTAAAACTGAGAGGTTCGTGTAATTCTGTGCTTGGGTGAGATGTGTTCAGGACTGGCCAAAGAGAGGAGACGCAAGCGTGAGCGAAGCCCCATTGATCCTGGGTTAATATAGAAGCCCTCTCACAGTCACACAAATATACATGCTCAGTCACAAGGAACAATGCAGTCGATCTATAGTAGTTGAGTTAAGAGTGGTGGTAAGGAAAAGCTTTTAAGGCTATTAAAAAAATTGCTCCATCCTGTCTGCATGTGGTGCTTTGAGCTGACGAACAGGACCAGGAGTGAAGACAGATTTGCTGCGTTAATCAAATTTCCCTTTATCTTATATTCACTTTATCTTTATCTTTAATGGAGTGATGCAGAGAAAAACAGATTTTGCCAGTCCAGATGTTATTTGGGCCTAGAAAGGCTTTCTAACAACAACAACAACAACAACAACAACAACAACAACAACAAAAAAGCTTTTCAGCTTGCAATTAAACAAATATTTTAAGGTACACTTTGGGAAAAGTTGTAAATAAATACTGGAGTATGTTTACAAGAAAATACTATTCAGTTTAATTTGCTTAAAGTCCACGTGTGGTCAATAATTGTATTCCTTAAAACTCATCTTTGATCACCAAAATGACATATTTAAATGTTTTTTCCTTGAAAAAAAAATATTCATGCCTTAAAATAGCTTGAATGTAACTCTACACCCTTGCCTCATTTAGTATACGCGGTCTATGAATATGCATATTAGCCCCTCCTCCGCACCAGCTAAGAGATCCACTCATTGACGATCACACGTTGACGTGATTGGTTACAAGTTTGTGACGTCAGAAACACCAACGATTTCAAACCGTTTTTGAGACTGTCTATTCACTGCAGTTTTAAGGAGAAAATACTCTGCAATTGTGTTGACTTATGCATTTGCACATGGTTTGTCTTAAAAGCATATTAAAAACACCAATTAGACATATAAACAACAATAAAAACTGGATTTTCACCACAGGGTGACTTTAAAAGATTAGATTATGTAAAATCAAATATACTCTGATTTGAATGTGATAACAGTAATAGCAGCCAATCATCTGAGCGAACTAAGTCATGTGACTTGTCAGTTCACACAATGGAGGAAAAAGATCTGCTTTGTTGTAATTTTTTTGGAAGATGCTTATGATGCTTAAACACTTTACGTAAGTCTCTGCTTAAAGGGATAGTTCACCCAAAAAATGAAAATTCTGTCATAATTTACTCACCCTCAAGTTGTTCAAAACCTGTACGAGTTTATGTCTTCTGCTGAACACAAAAGAAGATATTTTGAAGAAGGTTGGTAACCAAACAGTTGATGGACCCCAATGACTTCCATAGTATTTTTTTTCTAACCAACCTTCTTCAAAATATCTTCTTTTGTGTTCAGTAGAAGAAAAGAAATTCATACAGGTTTGAAACAACTTGAGGGTAAGTAAATTATCACAGAATTTTCATTTTTGGGTGAACTATCACTTTAAGTGGATTTGTTCAGTGTTTTTTTAATGAATCAATTCAATGACACGTATTATGTAAACTCGGACAACAAATGAAAGACTGCTAACGTAAAGATCTTTAATCTGTAGAAATGGTCGCTGAATCAGTGCACAAATCTGAACAATCTTAATGGATTCAAAAGACTCGAGTTACTTGGGTGACACAGCAGGTTTCTTTGTGTTTGTTGCCAAAACAAAAAAAATATTTCAGCATGCATATTTTACTTGAGTTTTATAATGAATCATTTCATAAATCTTAAGAGTCTGAGTGATTCTTCATTGTTTTTCAGCACTGCTTGAGTTTGAGCCAGGAGGTTGCAGATAGTGGCAGGAATCCAGGACCCAGAATCAGCTCAAGGTCACTTTCTCACTGCAGCAGATCCATCCCAACCTGCAGCGACACACCCCCATACAGATATGGACAATGACATTACAACTTGTTTAACTGCGTGTAATGGAGAAAAGAAACAACTCTTGCATAATGAATAGTTATTTGTCTTGATCCCATATTACAAACACGATAATATAATACTATTTGCAGTCACCTTAAAATCACATTCATATTATCAAGACACAATTTTGTGAATAAAACTAGATTATGAAAGCCAATGTATACAGATACAGTCTCCACTGTTACATTCTGCCATCATTGGATGGTGGTCCTCTTGTTACTATGGCGACAGGCACCTAGAGCCCCTCCACAGACAGATTGGAGGGGATGAGAGCTGTGATGATATCACACAGACTGAGGAATCACTGGCTTTGGGCCACAGATGAGATATCATACTTGCAGGGTT